AAAAGCAGTCAACCGAGACTTCCCTTTTTTTATATTTATCAAATGTTATAGTTTTGAAAAAGGCGTTATAATGCAACGCATAAGACAATATATTTATAGAAAAACTGTATATACACATAGTAATACACATTATATGGGATTCAGAGACAACTGGGTTATACGATGGTCTACATGAGAATTTGCACACCGGCAAAATGAAAACCAGCAACCAGTCAGGTATAACCCCTCCTATTCCCATGGCTCAGTTAATACTAAGAGCAAGGTCATAGCCAGGTCAATATTGGTGAGCAGCAAAGACAGCAGAGAATCTCTGTCACTTGTGATGAAACACATGGGAATGTTACCAGGAAGAAGAGCGCAGAGCTTGCACGAATACTCCACCTAAATGTTTGCATTAGCGCTCAATCCCGCAGCAAAATCCCTTTATGCGGTAAACCGACTGAAAAAGAGAGGGGTAATAATGGCACCCAACAGTCTTATTTGCAAGGTGGCTTCCAGTGCTCAGTTTACATGGCCTACTCACAAAGTGGGTCATGCTAGAGGCTGTGACATGGCTCAGGACCCGGACATCACTCCGCGGCTTAGTAACACTGAAACTCAGGTCTGAAAATGGCACAATGCTGCGGAGCATGATGCCTGCTGGGCACATTCCAGGCTAACCCTGCAATTGTCCAGTCCAACAAGGTCAAGGAAAATAAACTCTGAGGATATGCCCATCTGAATACCTGCCTACAGAGACTAGCAGTTTGAAGGAGAATATTAAATTGAAGAAAAGGAAAAAAAAAATGGCGCGCAAAAAACAGCAGCAAAGAAAAGATGCCTATCCTTTAAGGACACCACACAAAAAAAAATGGGGATGCTAGGAGCGAGTAGGAATATCAGGACAGTCACTGTTTTTGTATGCCAGTGTCCAAATTCTCCTGTAGGTGGCAGTATAGCAAGTAACTCTGCATACTGTCTCTCTCTCTCTCTCTCTCTCGAAGAAATAAAAACCCAGTAGCTTATATTGAATTAAACACCAACAATATATGGTCATTCCAAGTCTGGTAGCACTGCAAAGGTTAAAACACATTTAATAAAATGTTACCCATGTGTTGAGAAAAAATAATGAAAGAAAGGGAAGAGCAAGGTCTTACAGGGAAAGAAACTAGAGTGGAAAAGTCCAAAGATCCCAAGGATGTATGAGAGGAAGGGAGCGTGAAGGGGGTATTGAGTAGCTAAAAAGGTTTAAGTATTCTTTAACATTGTACATGAATGTGTAAGGTTTTAGTATGAGCCTTAACATTTGAACACAATCCAGAGGGACAAGCTCTGCAGGAATTTAATGATGGTTGCCTCCTCCATATAGTAATCAATCCTTTTTGTCCATTCTAAAATTGAAGGAGTTGCTGGAGAGCTTCAGTGCAAGGGGATTAGTAATTTTGTTTAGCAAATGTAGAGTGAGGGATAATTTGTATTTGTTAAAAAGTGTATCTAGGATGTGTAACAGGAAGGCAGCCAGGCTGAATGATGTTAACGTGTCAAATATCCATTTGAATGACATCCTAATGTTCAAGATTACTAATAATGTTGGATTTTAGGAACGGTCCCTAGTGGGAAAGGGCCACCAAGCATTTGTCTCTGCCTAACCAGTTTGGGAAGGGAGGCTTGAGTATGTCTGGGAGAAGTCAAGAGTTGCCTTTGAGGGGTTTTGGTGGACCAGGAAATTAGGAAAAATCACTCGTCCTGATCTTATGTTTAATTTTAGCGTTACTCCCAATTTTTGGATGCTTTTTCATGCAGAATGGAATATGTGCAAATGGTATCCAGGCTGTTGGCATATCCATATAATTTTTGGTAGGGAGACTTATTCCTCCCTGAGAATTTAGTTTGGTAATCATATTGCATTTAAATTCTGAGTGTTTTATTTTCTCGAGGGAGTTTTAATAAGGGTCACCTGAAGTAGATAAAAATGTGGGGTCATATATTAATTTTAATAATGGCTGTACAGCCTAACCAAGAGAAATGCTATCCTGAAGTCACTTTCAAAGGTTTTTTGGCAAGAGAAAAGTTTTTACAGAACAAGCTATTGACATTGGAAGAAAGAGGCCCAGGCAGGTTATTCCCAAATCGGATGGCACCTAAATAGGAAGGATTCTTTAATCTGTCGTGCTTCAGAAGTGGTTAAGAGACAAAATTATTTTAACTACCTGCCGGCCAGCCGCTGTGTATACACGGCCTGCCGGGAGCTTCTTGGATGTAACTGGGCGTGTATACACGTCCTGTTACATCCGCCCGCGGCGCACGCGAGCGGGAAATCCCCGCTATTTGAAAAGAGGCAGCGATGCCCGTTAATATACAAGCGATCCGCCGGCTATAGAGCCGGTGGATCGCTTGTATGAAGCCCCGAGACATGCGCCCTCCGCGGCTCTCCCCCCTCCCGCTGTCAAGCTGGTCCCGGGCTCCGGTGTGAGCCCGGGACCAGCATAGTGCCTCTGTCACAGGGGATCAGAGAGAGCTCGGTACACAAGCTCCCTCCGGTCCCCTCTCCGCTGTCAGAATGCGGAAGTGTTGTATATCACATCACTTTCTGATCTTCAGAATGCTGGAAACATGTCCAAAGAGGACAAACACCATCATCCTGTTGCGTGGGATTAGATTCAATGACGGGATTGCCTTAAACCTCCTGAAAGCCACAAAAGGACAAGCTAAAGGGCCTTACCCAAAGACATCATCAATCTTTTAAAAGGTAAATCTTCACAATGAGAATTTAAAACTAAAATTACCAAATTAACCAGAATATCAATAGAGTCTAATTGTTTTTTTCAATTATGTTATACTGAAGAGCTATTTCAGCCCTCTAATGCCTCAATAAGGCTTGGACATTACCATGACAACACAGCAAGGATACCTTTCAGCAGAGGCTGGTATCTTAATATACTCAGACATCAGTGAGCATATTAGAAAACATAATAAATATAAGGGAGGAACCATTAAGAAGAGGACTGGAAGTATTCAAAAAATATGGCATCAGGCAAGTTAAAAAGTACAGATCTTCTCTGAGCTGTAGTTTAGGCAAGTATAATTTATTCCAAAAGGGCCCAGGATGAGGGGGGCTTAAAAAGGATAAAGCCACTCAAAGTGCTTTTCTCTTTTAAGTTCACTGTATACGACAATAGAGAGATTACATTATGGCAGAGTTTAGTGTCAGCTATTATTACAGGTGTCAAGTGATAGTCTAGTCTGTACATCAGACTTTGCAATAATGCACCCTAGCCATGTTTTCAAAGTAACAGCCGTGAAGTTCAAGGCAGACAAGATGTTGAGAGAAGGTGGTCTAAAAAGGGAACGTGCACTTATTCTTTTAAGTGTATTCCCACTTTTGCAACCAAATTTGGATATCAGCTACTTTATACTTGTTCTATGTTCACATTCACTTTACATAGCTTAAAAATAAATAAATAAAAAAACATACAAAATAAAAATTGCTGTTTACGTTGGAAGGTTTTTTTTTTGTTACTTAAAATGCTTCCTAGCTTCTCCCACCACTTTGAGGGGGCTGTTGGACGTTAGGTTTACTCTAAGCCTGTCTGTACAGTGCTAGATTTCATTATAAGTTGTAAACTAGATTTGAACAGTCCTAAGGCTTAAAGACTAAGTACTGTATATTAATGAGAGGAAGCTCAGTCTGTCCGTCAGTTTTTCTTTCCCTATCAAACTGCTCAGAATAGCCGGAATCTGCAAAAAGGCTTCTACATTAAAAAGGTGAAAAATATTGGATAATTTTTTAGGTATGTCTTGTGAATAGGAACAGGAAGTTCAGCAAAATGTTGCTTCCGTTCGCAAACTTCGCATCGGGTGACGAACACAACCGCAGCAATCTTCTCTGCTCTGACACGGGTCGTGGCTTCCTCTAGTCGAGATCGCGGTCTGATCACAGTTTGATTTGGTTCGCGACCAGAATCGTGGAACAAATTAAGTTTGTGTACCGAGGTACCACTGTATGTGTGATTGTGACACAATTACATCACAGAGTGAGATACACATGCATTCCTCCGCACATTGAACATTCTGGGTTATTTTGAGCCCTAAAAAGGGAATAGTCATCATCTTATGCGATTAGTTAGCTTGTGGGCTTGAGAGATCTCCGGTGGATTCTGTAAACTGTAATTGGGCTCACATGATCAAATGCCACCATAGGACTTCAAGTAAAAGATTATTGTATCCAATACTGGATCTTGCAATAAAGGGGCTGCAACTCTACATGTTCTGAATGACTCGTACTCCAATAAATGTGAGTATATTGTATGATAGAAAGTACAATTGAAATACCTTGGACATAAAGGAAATATAACTGCAACTATGCTTCAAGTGAGAGGATTAATTTTGGATTGCATACATTTCCCCTTGTGTTTTCCATAGAAGGCCTTTTTTGTGCCCGATTTAGGCGGTACAACAATATAGAGTGTGGCTTTTTTTTTTTTTGATTCAGTATGTTGAGTGAAAAAATCCATAAAGTGAAGATTGCATGACCAAAAAAAAAAAAGACACCATACTCCAATAAACACTAAAATCAGTAACAGTGCACAAAAAAAATAAATACTTTTCCGACTAAATCTAAAAATGAAAAACTGTATTGAGTTTATAAATAACAAATATTTGTAAATTTTAAATTGCGACTTTTTACAAAAAACGGTAAAAAAAAAGAAGGAACGCAAAAACTGTAAATAAGCGACTTATGTTAAAAATTGTTTGTGCGGTGTTGGTTTGTGTGTTGTGATAAATGATACAGGCGTACATTTAATCGCAACACAGAGTATCACAATGCTTTGCCATGCACTCTGACAGTTAAATTAATGTTATTTTAAAAAGGAAAAACAAATAAAAATCAAGCACTGTGATGCGTTCTAACGCACCACAATATGGTGTGTGTATTTTTTATTTATTTTTATTAAATATTTTTATTTTTTACTTTACTTTTTAGGGGCTTTGGGCAAATATCAGAGGTCTGAACAGACTCCTAACATTTCCCTTTTGAAATTAAAGCCACAGTCCTCAATCTCTTTCTGCAGCCTCAACACTCATGAATAGGAAGCCTCTGTACTGAATGCTTTCCATTCATTAACTAGTGATGGTAAAATATTTACCATCATCCAGTTTATGAATGGGTGGAAGCCTGTATACTGAGGCTTCCACCCATTAAGAAACTCATGAATGAACAGGAAGTGATGTAAAATGATGGGCGCCCAGAATTTTTGTTAATAGCGGTCATTAGTGGCTTGTTAGCCGCTGACAGCTATTGATTTAAAGGGGACCTTCAGAGGAACCATTCTGATATAAAAGTTTATGGTCGCTAAAGCAACCATGAGCTTATAGCAGAACGATAAAAGCCATATGGCATACTGATATGGCCAGCTGGAAACAGTTGTGTTTCGCTGTATGCCATATGTCGGTGGCAGCGAAAGGGTTAACGATGCTGATAAAAGTTTACTCAGCATAACTGTGCAGGGCTAAATTGGTAAGGGAAACTAGGCTTACCATTCTCCTAAAATGCACTAAAAATCAACACTCCACCTTCACATAACACAATTTTCTGCAACAGTTTCAAAGTGACCTGGCTTTTCTCACAACCACTTGTGAGGGAAACAAGAACAAGACAAAACACTAAAACAGATGCCTTAATAACATAACCATGTGTGAAATACATGTGTCCCAGAAGAGGAAAGGTGTCTCTATCTTCCACCTGTGGCATTAGTGAAGTTGCTCATTCTTCTAGTTTCTTCTTAATCTGAGTAGACCTGTCTGGTGACATGCTATTGCGCAGATCTCTTTCATACAAGCACTGCGCTTTGTAAATGGCTTGAAGTACTCACCAACTCTGTCTGGAAGAACCTCAAGAGCAGATACCCTTTCATCCTTGTGAAGTTCAAGTCCATAAACACAATCAAACCCATCATACTTTATAAGATAAAGGGAAGGGTTGACTGGTACTTGATCTAGAACAGTTCCTTTCCACTGGGTTATGGGACCACTGCCCTCTTTCCAGCCGTGCTGTATTCTGCAACCAACGATGTTTCGCCTTGGCTGGGAAATCGGTTTGCTTGGTCCCATGTTATTGCGATGTTTCCTGAAAGCAGAAGTATAATTTACTTATATTATACAGTAAACATTCGCAGAGGCACTTACCTTTATTTACATTCCGCACATGCAGCAAGTAGCCTCCAGAGGTTATTAAAATACAGTACCTATATATGTATTTAACCCCTTGAAAGTTTTCATTTTCTATTGTCATAGAACACTGCATTTTTTTTTTAAATAGTGTAAAACAAAATTTGGTCCTTAAGGTCACTGAACAATTTAAATCCTAAAGAAAATAGATCTCTGCAAAGTCATTTAACCCCTTAAGAACACAGGCCTTTTTTCCCCATTTTTTGTTTACATGCTATAATCCACTGTTAACAGTGGTGCCCCAGCTCTCACGGCCTAGGGTAAATCCCTCTTGGTCTAAAGGAATAAGATCTGAAACAGGGAGTTCAAGCCTGTTAGTGTTTTGTGGATAGCATGCACCTGTGTTTGGGCAGAACCACAATATGGACCCTCAAGGGCCTAGGTAGGAAAAGGGTGATTGCATTTTATGTATTTGTGGGGAAAGGTATAAAAGTATAAAAATATTTAAAAAACGCAGAGAAAAAAAAAAAAAAAAGTCAACCAGGGACCTGAGATTTTTTTTACCAGATTATAGAGCAGAGATGACAGTGTCCCATATATTTTTTTAAGTTTTGGAAAGAGCAGGACGAAATAAATCCCCTGTGGGTTTAGGCTTTACTGTCCAGGCACTGTTGGGGAAATGTACCTTCTCTGTCCTACAGAGACATTCCTCAGACAGCTGTCCCCAAGATTTCCCTACCTCTTGCTATGGGGACAGTTATAAAAATATAGCTTCCCCTTACTTTACCAGGAACAATAGTCACCAGTTCAAAATAGAGGGGTTTATCTTCTCAATTGGGATATTAATTAAGTCTTGATAAGAGGGTCTAACCCTTCATTTTATTTAAAAAAAATAATTGCCCAGAGATACATTTTAACAGCCTTTTTTTTACTAATGTTCCATAATGCTGCAACTGGTGAAGCATCTAGGGAACAGTTATATGCATAGCCTCTGCAATGTAGTCCCTTGGCCTAAACTTATTTGTAGTGTAATAGGTCTCTTGGTGGCCTTCCTCACTAGTCAAGTCCTTGCATGGTCACTCTTTTTAGTGAAACGCCTCTCCTTCTGAATTCCAGATGTGGTTTAACATTTCCATTTATTAATGACTGATTTAACAAGGAATATTCAATGACTTCAATTTTTATTTACTAAATAAATGCGCCCCACAACTCGTTTTCCTTTCATGTGGTTTTGTCCTCATGGTGTAGGTTATGCCACAATACTGACTTAACAGAAGCTGAACCTTCCAGCTGCATGGGTATTTGTGTGTTTTTTGCACACAAAAAACAAAAAAAGAATCACTCTCTCTCTACCTGGAAAGGATTTTAAGCTATTCCAAATGCTGAACAACAATGGATGCTGCTCCTTGATTAAAAGTTTGTTTCATGAAGAAATCAGCTGGTTCTCTGGGCACTGTCCTAAACTACCTGTTTTAGATTGACTCCTTTCTCAAACAGAGTGCTATGCAGTCACATCTGTGTGTGCTAGTAAGCTGTGTGTGTCTCCACAAACAGACAGCAAATCAAACTACTCCCCTTAGCCCCTCTCCTCCAAGCTAGTAGATGAACAGTTGCTGGAGTCTGCTCTGTCCTTTGTGATCTTGTACTGGAGAGGAAGTTAAAAGGAAGCTGGAGCAGAGAAACGCAGAAGCAGCTGTTCAGAAACATAATGATTGTGTTTGGGCAAAAATGTAAAGAAATGCTTTGCTGGGCAATGTACATTTGTTTGACCTGGATTCATAAATGTAATACTACTTTATAACGTAATTAAATGACTTTGCAGAGATCTGTGTTCACTTAAAACTGTAGAGATCTACTTATGCAGAATCAATACCCCCCAAAAATATAAAATCCACTGTGATTTAATGTTCTATGAAAAAAGAAACATGAAAACATCCAATGTAATTTATAGGCAGTATCACAGAACAAAATATTTATATCCAGTACCTTGATCATTTTACCATTTATTTTGATGATGCGTTATAAAACATGCCTTTACTGCTTAAGACCTTGGAAAGATTATTGGTTGGGAATAGTGTCATACTTGTTACAACAATTATTGGTGTAAAAGTCCAAATAAAAAAAAAAAAAGAGTTCATTAGGAAAACTCAATTAAAATGTTATTACGCCATTAAACACATCAATATCGTTTTCGGCAGTGTTATCATTTCCATTCTGTCTACTAGCGCATGTGCAGCCTATTCTGCATTCGAGGCACACCTACTGTAATAACGGTCACAGATGCCAGTGTGCTTATGTCAGCTCTCAACTGATCTTTCATGCTCTCAAATGGCTGGTGTCATAGCTGGTTATGTGTGCAGCACCATGGCAACTGCAGATCTGAATAGAGGCCAAGATGGAATGGTCCTCGGCAGACAGGAGGGCTTAGTTCTGCTTTAAAGAAAAAGACTAATGAACTAGTAGGAGCTGCTTCTAAATGATTTGTGATTGTGTGAAAACACTATAAAATGTTTTCATTACCAAGTATCTCTTATCTGGCTAACAGTTCATTATCCCAGAAGTTTTACAGGTCAAAAGCAGAAAAGGTACAATCTTAAAATTTGTTAACCAAAAAGGTATATTCGTACACCCTCAATTCATGTAATGTTTTAAAATAGAACAGATTCCCTCCAAGCACAGCAAATGATACTGTGGAATCTATTTATAATAATAATAAAAAGAAAAAATGTACATAGCTATTCGCCCACCGAAACTGCATGCACATACACAAATCGAATGTTCATAAAGCTATTTTCTCTTCTGGTCGAATGTTCTTCAAATACTATGGCAGTAGTGAATCAGGAACATACCACATTATGGACACTAAAAAGGAGTTGTGGGGAGAGAGAGAGAAAAAAAAAAAATCACAAGAGATACAAAGTAACAATTCTAGAGAACACTGGAGAGAATTGGCAGATAAATGTAACTATTGCTACTATGGAGATTTTTGAACACCATTTAGCCAGAACAGAAGATAGCCTTAAGAACATTTGATTTTGCCCCATTCTAACAGTTGATTTGCACAGAACGAATGTATATGCTGTTTCACTGGACAAAGAGCTAACAATTTTTGCTTTATAAACAGACCCCTATACGTCCGTTCTGGATTGCGCCAACAAAAACAAACTTGAAAGGAAGTTCATCTTTCCAAAACTGGAAAATCTGTTGGGACCAATAACACAGGCTATAAATCCACCACAGGCTATAAATCCACCAATCAGCCTTAAAGTGACATTAAACCATCAGATTTTTTAACATAAACCAATACTGTAATCCATGGTTGTTTCCCTTCTCTTTGCTGCTCTTCCTTTTAAATCTGTATCTGTTCTCATGCTGGGCAGAACTTCTGTTTTGCAGCTGAGTGCCTCTTCCTGCAGTGCTGGCTCAGGTTGTGAACCTGCACACAGTCACCATGTTACCATTCCAGAGACAAGGCAGTCTGCTGCAAAACAGAAGTTCTGCCCAGCATGAGAACAGATAGATTTAAAAGGAAGAACAGCAAAGAGAAGGGAAACAACCATGGATTACAGTAAGGCACACATTACAGTATTGTTTTATGTTAAAACATCTGAGGGTTTAATGTCACTTTAAGACTATTCATACTATTCCAGGTTTTTAAAACCCTTTCCTATACTTACTTGTGAGAGGTCCTTTTCTTCATCATATTGGCCGAAACACCTGCATGTGCTAGGAAAAAGAAAAAACCAAAACAACAAAAATGCATCAGTCTCAAGGGAAACCAGCATTTAGCACCTCACTGAGACTTAACAATATTTGCTTAGCGTTTGCGGTTAAAGATGATAAATTAAACAAAACACTATAAATCCTGCGTTTTCAGATTGGTAAAATATGAGATACAGTAAATGTTAGGGCAAGTTAGGCCCCTTTCACATGGGCGCCTACAGTTCCGATCAGCAAGGGATCCCCTGCTGATCAGATCGGATGTCACCATCATGAAATCTGGTGTCGGTCCAGTTATTTCCTTCATCTTGCGATGGAGGTAAAAACTGAAATTACCGGACCCCATGTTGGTCTATGGGGAAGCGGATGTAAACGCACACGTTTCAGTTTACATTAGATTACCTCGGATCGGCTCTGATCAGATCCGTCAAAATGGAACTCTGATTTTGTTTTTCCGGACCTGCCTGGAGCCAGGTAATCGGATACAAATGGACGCACAACAGTTTAAATCCTGCTGCCCATAGACTAACATTGAGCTGCCGGTGTTAAAGAGGCCTTAAGGTTTAACCCGTTAATGACCAAGGCCTTTTTTTCATTTTTGTACCCTTATCCACATTTTGGGCCTGAAAATTACTTCAAACCCCCAAACCTTATATATTTTCTGTAAGCCAAGACCTTATAAAATAAAATGGTGGCAGCTGCAAATTTTTATGTTGCACGATAATAGTGCAACTTATCAAACCCAAAAATTATATGAAAAAAATGCAAACAAGTTAAATCTGCGCATAAATATTGGTGCTAGAATTATTGCTCTCACTCCGGCGTGCGCGGTGATACCAAACATGTGTAGCACAATTATCGTTTTCATACGTAGGCTCACCTGACATGTGTTTACTTGAATACAGACGTGCTCGTGGGGGGCCTTGAAATTTTTCAAATTATTTTTACATTTCATTCATTATTTAAATTTTAAAAAGTTTTTTTTTTAAACTTTATTTTTATCACATGGGGGGCTTTCAAGCTCCCCCATGTGATAGCATGTTGGCAGTGACAGGTACTCCTTAAGGTGATACTGGGGGTCCAAAAGACACGTTACGTTACACGTTAAATAGGCTATTGAAGTGCAGATCGCATGGGCTGCTGGAGAAGTGAATATAATACTACTTCTATTGCTGGGATATGGAACCAGACCGTCACTTTAACTGTTTAAACGTATCCACACTTCGAACAGATTCAGATAATGCAGGGGTGTAGGGGAAATTAAATGTTGAAAGCACAAAAAACTCTGAAGTCCAGGAAGTAGTTTTGCACAGCTGGAACCCTGTATAAATGCTATTTTTTTTTTTTTAAATACAATTTTGGAGTTAGATTTGTGATAACGTTTTACCTGCATCAGCTCTTGATCGCTGAGTGGCCGCCTTTCCAAATGGAGTCTTCATTCATCTGTATATGAAAGGGCAGCAAAGCTGCCAAGCTATGGAGAAAGTTGTAGTCACTCCAAGCTTCCTGCAGTGGTTGCCGTACACATGAAAAGGATCCCTTCCTTTTCACCCCACAGATTAAGGTGCCTGCCAACCTACAGATTTTCTTCTGGTCTAATCTTTGATTTGCCTGTCAAAAAATACAATTATTATAATTACTAAAAATAATTGTCATCATGAAATAACCAATAATAATCATCACCCACTAAAGACAATGTAGACAATTTTATTTTTAACCTAAAAAGCATTAACAATGTGCAAAGATGCATACCGTAAATCAAATTTCCATAGGTGTGGATTTTTTTTTAAAAAAAAAGGAGTTATTTAAAATCTTTTGAATTTTGAGAACACAAAAATAGATCCACAAAAAAGGTAAAATAGGAGTAAGGAAATGAAATAAAAATAAAGACTCAATGTTATTTACATTGTATGAAAAGGAATGTAATAGTTATTGAGCCAAATATCAGTTATGCCTCCATCAAGATCTCAGAGTACATTAATACCCTGATAGAAGCCATCAACATGCCCAATCCCACCACTTTACAACAATGAACCAATTAGATTATTTTAATATTGTACACCATTCATGGGTGGTGAAAATCAAATTGTGAGATGAGGGCACACTTTTGTGAAGTACGTTTTGCAGAACTAAGGGTACATTCACACTTGCATAGTAGGTGCATTTTGAGATTCCTACAGCAAGAACATACCAATTCCTGTGGCAGGAATTACAAATATGCTGTTTTGAAACGGCAGCTGTCAGCCGTTCAAGATAACGATCAAGTGAGAGTGGCCACACTGGAAAGCAGCATTCCGCTGGCACTCGGCATGTGGCACAATTACATGAAGAGCTCTCTATCGCCTGGATGCATGATACAAGCAAAGTGCCAGCACACTGCAGCTTTCAAATGCGGCCGCTGTCACCCGCTCATTAACTACCGCTTCTAAACAGCATATTTGGAATTTCTGTAGCAAGAATTTGTCGGCTGCTGACACAGGAGGGTTAAAATGCACTTCCTATGTAGGTGTGAATGAAGGCTTAGTCTGCTTCTTTGGACAACACAAGGATGTTATCTGTAATAATATAAATAGGTGTTGGCGCATATATAGCAAGCAATACTTTAATTTACTTCAACGTGGTTTATAATGTGATAGCCCTTCACAAAGAATAAGAAGGACTGCACTGAAGCATCAAATGTAAGGGTAATGTAGGGCATACCATTACTAGAAGCATTGGCTAGAAGACAGACAGATGTGCTAGAAAAAAAAAAAAGGGAGGGAACTATATCATAAACATAGATGTCTGACCTGATATACTACCTGACTCTGTATCGGTCAGAAGGACAAATGAATCATCAATATTATAACTATAAGACATCCTCAAACAATTCATCCCCACACAGCTACCGCCTCATGTCCTCATGTATCACTTGCCCCTCCCTTTTAGATTGTAAGCCCTCACGGACAGGGCCCTCCTTTCCATCTTGTCTTGAATTATATTGCGATTGTAATGCCTTCCATATATTGTAAAGCGCTGTGCACACTGTTGGTGCTACCGTGTTTCCCCGAAAATAAGACAGTGTCTTATTTTTTTTTTTGCACGAAATAAGACACTAGGTCTTATTTTCGGGGGATGTCTTACCTGGCTGCAGCTGTGCTCTGCCGTCCAGGGTCACCCACATTATAGAGCAGAAATCTTCCATAGAATTGAATCACGAAATTGGGTAAAAATTAGGGATGTCCCGATACCGATGCTAGCATCGGAATCGGGCCCGATACAGGGCATTTTGACAAGTATTTGTACTTGTCAAAATGCACCGAAGCCTAGCGCCGAAGCTTGCGATATGTTTTTTTTTTTTTTCCTTCTTACTTACCTCGCCGAGCGCCGCGTCACTGCTGCTCCGGTGGGCGGCGCTCCGAGCGGGGTCATCTGGCAGTCTCATCTGATTTATTAAGCAATTATGTATTGTCTGCACTGTATTAGCAGTATATACTCTATATAGAGTAATTCTTTGAGTAAGGGAAGCTGGGATGGGGATGGCTGTAAATCTATTGCTATAGTGTACTGGACGTGGGTAATGTATATGTAGTACATATATACAGCACACACCTCTACTGCACTCCAGCAATAGAGTTACAATTCTCCCCTGCTAACATGAATAGGTTAAATCATGATCCATAGTATATAACATGTAGTTGTACTATGGATCATTTAAAAAGTCACCTGTCCCTTTAAGAAAAAGTATCGGTAATTGGTATCGGCAAGTACATGAGGGGATGTACTTGTACTTGGGCCTGAAAAAGTGGTATCGGGACATCGCTAGTAAAAATGTAAAAAAACAAAACCCAAAAAAGATAATGTTAGGAGGATAAAACATATGTACAATATCTAGTTTAATATTGACACCTAATTTGTCCCTGTTGACAACTACATAGATAATACATCTACATTTGTAATGATATAGCTCCCTCTGTTTTTTCTTGTTATCTAGTATGTCTCGTCTGTCTTTTTGTCAATGCTCCCCAGCCATGGTACAGTCCCATGAAGGGACCAACATGACATCAGACTTCTCATACTTTGTGAAGTGCCATCACATTATAAGCCATGTTGCTGTAAATTAAAGTATAGTTTACTGTATATGCCCCAAGGCCTGGTTCACACCTGGGCATTTTACAGCGCTGATCGACACGCTGTAAAACGCTCAGCATGTGAAAACCAATAATTGCCTATGGCATGGGTCCCACCTGGGCGTATTTCAGTGCGTAGGAACGTGCTGAAAAACACCCTATGCCCAAAGAAGTACAGGAGCTTCTTTGGGACGTATTTTCCACGCGTATACATTAGGATACAGCTGGATAGCACTCGTAAACCCGCGTCACACGTTTTTTACAGCAAATCACGGTAAAAATGTGCAACACGAAACGCGCGGCAAACGCACATATTCCGTACGCTCAGGTGTGAACCCAGCCTAAAACAGGTTGTTTGCATTAAGAACACCATCCTCATGTTGTCTGAAGAAGCAGACTAAGATCTGTGAAACACCTTACACAAAAGTGAGCCCTCATCTCACAATTTGTTGATTTCCACCTCCCATAAGTAATGATGTACAATAATAAGATAATCAAATTGGTTATTGGTCATAAATTGGTGGGATTTGGTATGAGGATGGGCTCAATAAGGGCATTGATGTACTCTTCAATATTGATATGCAAGCATGAATGATCTTTGGCTCAATGAGTATTCTACTCCTTTTCATACATTATTTTATGATGAGGCGTAAAAAAAATTGGAGTTTTTATAGATTTAAAAATGTATTCTTTATTTTTGACACCCCTAAAATCCCATTTTTCCTTTTGTGGATCAATATGTTGAATTAAAAAAAAAGGAGGTGGTGTGTTTATATACTGAATCGGTGACAAATTATATGTTGAGAACACAAAATTACAGAAGCACTGCGAACAAATAATTCCACATCCAGACAAAGCAGTGTCACAGCATACAGCACACAAGTAAAGACTTTGATATATTTGTTGCCACTGCCCAAAAAAAAACAGGTACAACAATAAAGAGAGCTATTTTCCAGCCCTTCCTATATTGGCCTTGAGTGTCTACATAGGTGAACATTGGGGAATCCAGGTATCCAATTACCAGATCTCAAGAGGATCTGCAAAGTAGACTTCTCCCACCTCAGGGGGATATGATCCATCTACAACATATTATGAAGCGGTGTGGGTATTTCACATACACTTAATTCCACTATATTAGGTATGCTCAATGCTTAGTAACATAAAATCATCAGACTCCACCAATTCCATAAAACATGGCCATTTTCAAGATGTTTGGTTGTCTCAACAAAAAACAGAATGGGTAGGATAAGTATACTAAGCCACTTTGAGCATGAAATGATTCTTAGTGAAAGACAAGACATAAAACCAGAATCTTCTGGCCCCCGAGGACTGAATTTACAGAGCACTGTGGAAAAAACAAAATATCCAGTGAGCCGTAGTTGTATGGTTACATCACACCTTAGTTAGTCTTGCTGAAGCCGACAGGAGGACCACCACTACATGAGACTCAACACCTTACAGCATTCATGTTCAGATTGCAAATGCCGAAGAGAGGCAGCTAGAGCAGTAAAAGGCCACATATTATTTCCACCACTTCCAACCAGGAACAAGAAAATCAAGCTAAGTGAATTAAACTAGCCTTCGCACCAAAATAGGATAACTGGACCATTGCCAACAAAGACTTTTTTTTTTTTTTTTTTATTGAAAATGCCAACAAAAGACTTTTAATCAAGTTATGCTTTTTAATTGTCAGAAATTGGCAAACACAACATGCATCCACAGATCCATTGTGTTTCATTGTGTTGTTGTTTGGGGATTCCAAGGATCTGCGTAAAGCAAAAATATATATTTTTCTTTATTCCTTACCCTATTGCTGCACTTTAAACTATTGTGCATTGTTTTAAAAATGTTGCAATTAATTGAACTACAATTAAAATGTATACATGAAGAGTGATATGCCACAAAAGGTGGTAAACTAGGAGGCAGAAAAATTGTTAAATCAAAAAAAATTTTCTCCCCCATTAACATGAAAATATAATTTCCTAAATTTCTTCAAAAAAATTTCCTTGCACATGTTACATTATACGTCTCATTGTCAAAGGTCGGCTAGAACTATGAGGTGAGTGGAAACACTCATCTCATAGTTCTCCTTTAAATCAGCTGCCTTATTACAATGGATGTTGAAGAACATACATAAGACGCACCAGGGTACCAAGGTTGGAATGGGCCCCCAAGGTCAAGAGTTTGATTAGCCTTCTATTCAGCCAACAGGAGAAGCTAAAGAAGAGTTCTGCTTAGTCAATTGCTGGTTTTGGCTTAGGTCCACAACTAACTTGAGAGGGGCTGAAGATACACTATATTGCCAAAAGTATTGGGACGCCTGCCTTTACACGCACATGAACTTTAATGGCATCCCAGTCTTAGTCCGTAGGGTTCAATATTGAGTTGGCCCACCCTTTGCAACTATAACAGCTTCAAATCTTGTGGGAAAGCATCCACAAGGTTTAGGAGTGTGTCTACGGGAATGTTTAACCATTCTTCCCGAAGCACATTTGTGAGGTC